CCTGCCTCCCCCTGCCAAAAGGAAATGAGCAATTCTCCAGTCTCAGCAGGGGGGGGGGGTGCTCCCTGCAATTACAGGATGAACTCCTTTCTGTGTCCCACCCAAAGCCACTTCTATCACATCATTAGGATGCAAGGGGAGATTTTTCCAGGCACCTCTGATTCCATTTAGGCACTTGGGAGAAGTGCTGAGAATTTCTGCAGTACTCAGCAGCCCTCGAGTTCAGTGGAGAGCACTGGCCTCTTAGTCTGGCTCCAGACAGGGTTTAATCCTTCCTGCTGCAGCAGAGGGGGACACATGAGGTTCCTGGCCTTCAAATGGAGGCAATCACTGTTGGGGATTCCCCAGACACCACCTGTCACTAATCAGCAAGTGTTGTGAGACTAATACCTTATAGGTCAGATTTTTGCTGAGAGTCTCTAAGCCTCAGGGGATCTTCCTCCCACCAGCCCTAAAGAAAATGTTACTGCCACTGCTAGTTCAGCGTTGATCCTTCACTTCCTCCCATGCAGCTCTCAGAGAAGGAGCTCCTTAGGCAGGCACCCTGTGGATTTTCCCCTTCAAACAAAGTCTCCCTTCGCTGTCACACCTCTAGGGTCCCAGAGGCCAGCCAGTTATCAGTCCCAGCCCATGGAGGGTTAGGAGTTCCTGCTGTGCAAGCCACAACCCGTTTCACATGGGGCAGACACATGTACTTCCTGTTTCTGGGAAGGAAGAGAAACTACCCTAGTGTTAACTCCCTGCACCAGGCTAACATCACAATGCTGGAGCCTCAGCAGGCTCCAACTTCAGAGAGGCCATTGCATTGTCAGCCACCCTGGTGACAAGCCCACAAGACACAGCTAGGTCTGAGACCGGGCAGAGGAGGAAAAGATACCAGGAGCTTCATGGCCTGAACAAGGAGCGCTAGTTCCTAATAAAAGGAGCCTTGTAACTCAAAGCTGGCTGTGACTATGCTGGAGAGGTGGAATCCCTGGTGGGAGACCATACATTCCCTGCACCCTGTTAATGTTCTTCTGCCATATAGATCAAGTAACTCATGAACGCCCTTCGTCTTGTCATGCTGCTGTATCCATGGAGAGCTGAGCTCTAATCCATAGCGGGGTGCTACAGTAATGACCTCAGGGCTCAGCATAATTTTGATGCTCACACAGGATTTTCATCCAAGAGCCTCAAAGCGCTACAGATAATTTAGCCATACCAGGGCCTTCCGGGTATGCTGAGCTATGGGCAAAGAGATCATATACAGCACAATTATTTGTCCCTTTCCCCCCACTAGTATGAGGAGCTAAGTGGACACCCTCCCCCCCCCCCCCCCACCACACC